ATGACGCATCCGGCCCATGGGCCACCAGTTTGACAACCCTGCTCTACTGGTTTAAGCCTAGACCTCAGTACAGGCAGTCCTCAATTTACACTTGTGACCATTTAACGACTGTCCAATGTTACAATGGCACCAGAGGTGGTATTCTACCAGCTCGGACCAGTTTGCCCAAACTGGTAGCGGAAATTGCAGGTGGCTCCACCCACCCACCTCAGATCTATGGCATCCCATTTAGGCCCTTTTTTCGCCAAAACCGCATGGGCGGAAGGCTCACATTTGCAAACCAGTAGGGAAGGTAAGTGAATACCATGCCTGAAGTATGACTGTTTTTCATACTTAAGACCAGTGGTGGCATTCAGCCAGTTCATACCACTTCAGGAGAATCGGTTGTTAACCTTCTGAGCAGTTCAGTGGTTGGTTGCTGGAAGAAATCATTAGGGCAGAGAACATGTTGTTAAATTATTTGAATCCCACTTCTGCTTAAGACTGTTGTACCATCGTCATGGTCATGTGTTCTGGGTTATGTGTGATCGCCTTTTGCAACCTTCTGACAAGCAAAGTCAATGGGGAAACCAAATTCACTCTACAGCTATGTTACTAACTTAATAACTATAGTGATTCATTTAACAACTGTTGCAAGAAAGGTTGTAAAAAGGGGCAAACCTCACGGAACAACTGTCTTGCTTAGCAACAGAAATTTGGGGCTCAATAGTCAGTAAGTCAAGCACCATCTGTAATGGAATTTTTTCAAGTTACAGCTTTTTGTTAATTAAGTGCAATTAAGTTCCTAAGTGCCTCAGCAAGGCAATGGAACCAAAAATGTGAATGGGTGTGGAAATGGATCTTGTATGATAACCAGTTTTTAGTGAACTGCTGGAATCTACTTTCATTTTCACTGCATGATGATAATTCCCAATCCTTTCATTTTATACCCAATCCCAAAGCCCTGAATGGGCAACCTTAGTGGCTGAATTTGTAACAAACAATCTACCACTGAACATAACAGAACCTTATTAATTTACTGGGTATGTTGCAGTGCAGTAATTGATCAAAATAAATCTATCACTTGAGCCAAAATATATGCCTTGAAATCCAAGTTTCCTTTGAATTGTAGTAAAGAGAAACAAATGGCATTCCCATAGAAAAAAAAGAAGCAGAAGACCTGCAGGAGATCAGCAAGAGCCATAGTACAGTCCAGAAGGACTGTCAAGGCACATCAGCTGTGATCTGCTGTGATATTTTTGTCAGCTTTGGGAGGCAAAGAACAGCAGTCCGAAATAGACATATGGATGAATGTACTTCACAAAAATGAGAGTTCAGAATTTCAATCTGTGTACCTACGATGGCTTTACATTGTGAATATATTTTTAATTAATCAAATTACATTGGGTGCCTAAGGGACAACTTATTTATACTTTCACACAATCTGAAATAAATCTGACACCAGTAAAGGACTTTCTGCCATTTCTTAATGCTGCAGGCATATTACATAATATTTTCTGTTATCCCCTAACTTTATTTATTTTTTTGATTTTATAAAATGGCTACATGTTTTGAAAACATTAGGAAATGTTGTATATGAATTTGTGTGCCTTAAATTAAAGCACAAGAAAAAAATAACTTAAAAAGTTATCTGAATGTAGATGTAGGTTTTTAAATAAAAGCAAATTGTTGCCCACCTCAATGTTTTTGAATGTACAGTTTTTCTGAGATTATCTATTGTGAATTGTTTAATAGATACCCTATAGCAGTGATGGTGAACCTTTTCAGCACCGAGTGCCCAAACTGGAACACATGTACATGTGCATGCATGTGCGAGCGCCAGAGCACTGGAAAGCTGAAGACCAGTTGGCCGGTGCTCACATGCCTGTTTTCTGGCTGTTTTTTTGGCTCATTTTTAGGCTGTTCACAGGACATTTTTCAGCCTAAACTGCCCTATAGAATTGAAATACAGAATAATTTAAAATTTATTTATTTTCTTGCTATTGTTATTTCAGTAACAACATTTCATACATACACAAATATATTTAATGTAGTATTCAGCAGCCAGAGGTTAATTAAATTAGGAGCATGCAGAACATAAACAAATGAATTATAATATTGTATGTTATTAATGTTATTTTTACAGTGCCTGGTCCCGTACCTACAAAATCATTAAAAGGAACTCCCTTTGAAGACAAGATCTTCTTAAATTGGAAAGAACCAATGGACCCAAATGGTATCATCACCCAATATGAGGTAATAATAACATTTATTTATTTCTTTTCATTTAGCATATTTCTACCTTGCCATCTCACCTAAATGGCTGTGAGCATTTACAAACAAACATAATATAAAACATAAGAACAATGTTAAAATTAAAAAGAGTTAAAAGAATTGACATTTTTGCTTAATTGGGCAAAAACACATGGGTTTATTTTTGAAAAAAAAATAAAAAAAATAAAACACAGATGGCATTTTTATCTAGATTCTGGATATAGGTTATGAGATCCCCAAGGCTTTTTTCTTTTTCTTTTGCTATCATCAGGTTCTTAATAGATCAGTAGATCATCTACTTAATCAGAATGCATTATTATATCATGCATATGAGTTTGGAATATATCCCTGGTCAAAAGCACGGTAAATATTCTGAATTGATCCCAAGTTATAAGAAAAACAATGTAAAATTGTAGAAATGAAAAAAGGGGGCCATGGTAGCCTCTTCTTTTCAGTCTATTTCTGGTAAGTGAGCTGTTACTTCATAGGATCCCTGCCTTCTGGGGTTTGTCCAGTGGTGGGTTCCAGCCAGTATGGCCCATTACGCCTGTACCAGTAGTAATCGGGAGCAGCTGACCGTGTACCGGTATGGTGGCCAGTTTGGCCCAGCCACCTGCCCGCGTTCTATTTTTTAATGCAACTGGCCAACTTGCAGGGGCGGTGGAGTGTGCATGCGTGCACAGCAGGACATCTGGCCCCATGAGCAGCATACCAGGGGCAACGGGGAGAGGAACCCACCACTGGGTTGATCCCGCTGCCCACTGAAAAACCTGCAGCTGAGCAACATACAACAGGAACCATTTCCGTGGTGTTAAAAGTTTTTTTTATAAAAAACAGCATTTGGGAACATGTCTACTCATATAGGGACATGGGCAGTCTCTCCTGTTCAGAAAACCTCTTTATTAAATTTATATGCCACACATCTCATTGTCAAGTGACTCAACTTATGTTACGTTGAAGCACGAAGAAGAGTGTTATGATCTATTCTTGCCTCTACATCAGGGGTGTCAAACTCAAGGCCCATGGACCTGATCCAGCCTATGGGGGGCTTAGATCTGATCCATGGGGCTGGCCTGGAAATATCAAAGGATCAGATCATGATGTCTCTGCTGGCCAAAATAAGGTGCAATGAGGGTGCATGTGTACCTCCCTCCCCCCCATGACCCATTTCAGCCTCCATGGTCTCTTGCAGCACTATGCAAACCGAAAATGGGCCACAATCCAGCCCATGGGCCTTGAGTTTGACACCTTGTGCCAGAAAGTAAAACTCCCTTTGTGTGGAATACCTGTTTTGTATGCAAAGGGGAAAAATGCATCTTGAGCCTGTGTGAAACGCCCACCATGGCCATGTCCACCATGGCCACGTTCACCATGGCCACATCCCACCCACCCTCCAGCCCTCCCAAGGTCAAATACAACCCTGATGTGGCCCTTAATGAAATTTAGTTTGACAGCCCTGCTTTACATGAATATATTAAAGCTTATAAAAGTATCAGGGCTATAAATATTGTCCATTTTTCAATTTAAGGAGCAGATTATCACTGTCAACATACCATTCATCTCACCCAATGATAAATCTGTGAATTAATCCTTAAATTAGCATATGCTACTAATGATCTTTTGTTTCAGTCACAGAGTGAATAAAACTTTCAGAATAAAAAATGAAAAATACAGGCTAAAATTGCATAATAATGAAGCCTTGTTTTTGCCAATACTTGTAATAAATGATAAAATCTAGGATTTAAATATGCAACTTTGATTTAGATCTAGTAGCATTAATATATAGCGTTCAAAAATCATGATTTAATGGAACTCTATCCAATGAAGGCTACAGATAATATATGTGAGAATTATTAATAGATCTGAGACATTTTCTAGACTTCAAGGTTTTCTCTCCTGGAAACTTGAAATGCAAATACTGATTTTTTTAAAGAAAAAAATCATATATTTGATGAATGAGCCCTTGAGGAATGAAGGAGAAAAATAATTTGGCATTCAATTTATTATGTATCTGTCATTTTTTAAAAGTAGGCAGCCTTGTCAATACCACATTTCTCGTTAAAACAAACTAAATATCTATTGGAGGCACTTAAATGCTTCAATCATATATTCCAATGTTTTTGTTGTGTTTTAATGGGTACTTTTAATTGCTAGTTCTTCAATAAAAATACTTAAAGGAAGAGTTCAGTGTATACATTGTACATTCAGAATAAATACTTGAATAAGCAAACATCACACAACCTCTGTATCTGTAGGTTTATTAGAAAAAAAGGGGAGAAAAAATGTGGTAATGTGCTATAAAATAAACAAACAAACAAACCTGATTAGCATTGTACAAATTACAGTTGTTTGCATAATTTGTGAGTCACCAGTCATATTTTGTAGTTGTAAGCAGAGGTGGTATTCAGCAGGTTCTAAGCAGTTCTGGAGAACCGGTGGCAGAAATTTTGAGTAGTTTAGAGAACCAGTAAATGCCACCTCTGACTGGCCCTGCCCCCATCTATTCTCTTCCTCCTGAGTCCCAGCTGTTTGGGAGGAAATGGGGATTTTGCAGTAACCTTCCCCTGGAGTGGGGAGAGAATGGAGATTTTACAGTATCCTTCCCCTGCCACACCCACCAAGCCATGCCACGTCCACAGAACCAGTAGTAAAAAAAATTGAATCCCACCACTGGTCATAAGGATCAGTAACATTATACTTGTATTTCACTACAGGAATTCAGAAAAAATGAAAAATTCAAAGACTAACATGAAACATTGTTTTTTTTTTTAAAAAAAGGAAACTAATTCATAGCAAAGTACTAACCAGGGTTGGAATTTCACTAAACCTCTGACATAATTTCCACAGGTCAGTTACACTAGCATACGATCCTTTGATCCTGCAGTTCCAGTTGCTGGGCCCCCTCAAACTGTGTCAAAATTATGGAACAGTACACACCATGTTTTTCCCTATCTACATCCTGGGACTACCTATCAGTTTTATATAAGGGCCAGCACTGTCAAAGGTTTTGGACCAGCTACAGCCATCAACGTAACTACCAATATTTCAGGTAAGGGAAAACATGGAAAAGTTATTAAATTTATCATATTAAATCTCCTTTCTTCAGTTGAAACCAACACCATTTCCATACAAGGAAGACATGGAAGACATGATATAGTAAGTGGTAATTATAAATAGGCACCAAGAAAGATGACTATGTGTATTTATGGATGCGCATATTTAAATCAGTGAAGGTATAGACTTGTTTTAAGATTCATAGTGAATTATCAAGACTATCATGAAATTTTGCAAATGGTTGTCCAAAATCTACTATGCAGTTACATGTACTTATTTTTGCTACGTTATATATTAGAATGCAGCCCAGTGTTCTTTACATTGAAGGAATTGTGGGAATTGGTGCTAAACTCCCCAAAACTATCCTGGTTTGCTTAGTTTTTAACTAATTTAGGTGGCCCCCATCTGATGAAAGTGACTCTGGGCGGCATAGAAAGATTAAAATACAGAACAAAACAAAAATCTCCCGAATTCACCAGTTCATTAAAATAGTGATTAAATTATTATTATATTAATATTTTAGTATCAATAAAATAATCATTAAAATATTCAAAAAACCTTGTTATATATAAGTGGAACTGAAAGTTCTTCGATTTTTGGAAGACGCATTATTTTAATCATTTTATTTACTATGCTGCAGTTGAGGTTGAGGTTGAGGTTTATTGGATTTATATGCCGCCCTTCTCCCAAGGACTCAGGGTGACGTACAACGTAAAAGAAAACACATATTACAAAATATGTGCAGTCTGCTAGAAATCTTTACAAACAAATAAAATAAACTTGCATGTACAGGTAGTCTTCTGGTAATTAGTACCAGCACCCTTTTCACTAGCAACACTGTCATAAAGTGAGATATCACATGATGCAACTTATGATGGCAGTAGCAGCAGTCCAATAGGTTGTTATTAGGCAAATCCTACGCCATTCGCAGCATCCTATGGTCACATGATGTTGTGGCCCATTGGCTGCCAGCAGAGATAGCTGCAGATTCAGACGAAAAGGAGTTGGAGGGAGAGCTTTTGGAAGGCTCTGATAAGGAAGCAGCATCAGAGGCAGAGGCAGGGCCTTCGATCTTCCCCTAGGTAGAGAGGCAGCTGTCTTCAGGGCCTGAGCTGAATGACAGGGAGGAATAGATGGAGCCCATCCCAGATGTGCATATGCACAGAGAGGAAAAGAGAGGAGAGCAAAGGAAAGCAGTAAGCCCGCACTCAGGGAGAGGGAGATGCAGATGATAGCCAGGCCCTCCCTGGCTGGGAAATAAATAAGAGGGGGAAATAAATAAATTTTAGAGTGGCCGGTTGTCACAGGCAACTGTTCGTTTCTAGTATACAGCAAACAATTCAGATTTCTTGGATAAACCCAGGTTTGTTGGGACTAATTATGTTTCATTTTTTGTTTATCCCTATGAATAAAAGATTGTTACTGCCGTGTTATAAAAAGGTGGCTGTTTTACTTGTGAGTAAATGCCATCACTACTAGTGAAGGCTGGGTCAGAAGACATGATTGACATTTGCAGCCTTTCCCGTTAACTTTGCTTGTTAGAAGCAGGCAGTGAAAGTTGCAAATGGCAAACATGTGCCCATTTGGATCATGTGATTGCAGAGACACTGCAATGGGTCCAGCCACAAGGACCCATCTTAAGTCTCTAATCCACAAGGACTTTCTATATACAAAATTACTACAAATAACCGATGGTCTTACCCCTTATTATTAGTTTAGTGGCGGATTCTGGGCCTCTTCCTTGGTGTTACCTGGAGTGACCAGAAGTGAGTACCAGGATAGAGCAAAATGAACATGGGAGACCGATGGTCCTTGACTTACAACTACAATTGGGAACAGAATTTCTGTCTCGAAGTGATGTAGTTGTAATATGACACCGCATTGCTTAGTGACCACAATCCCAGCAATCCCAGTTGCCTTCAATAACCAAGAATAGTGGGTCATTAAACAGAGGTGTCCCAGGTAAGAGCACAGGGCAGCCACCCAGAAGTGGTGTGTGTATGACACAGGCTGTGCATAAGTTGAGGGAGGCTGCAATGAAATGCAGGTGCAAACCTGTAGCCACTCCTGGAAGGTTTAGCTGACTCAGCCTGGTCCAGCAATACGACCCAGAGCTACCATACACCAGGAAGCTTAGTCACCCTACCAGGCCAAGCAAGCACTTACAACTACAGGGGCACTGCAACTATGCCCCACCTCTCTCCTTCACAACTCACCTATGCCTTTCTGGTAGCCCTGCACAATGGTGCACATTTGGGCATGTTCTTCTACTGCCTGTAGCAGATTTAGAGCTATCGGTTTAATTTGTCCATATCTTTAAAATACAGACCCATGGAAGAACATGAAATTATTTTTTTAAAGGTTTTAATTCTGCTAATTTACTACAAACTGATCTTCTCTTAGAAGAATACTCTGGTTTCTAGATTAGAGAACTTCTTCATACCAACATCCAGATATCAAGACGCAGCTGGATACAAAATAGGTTTTTTTTTTTCTTGCTGCCAAATGTTCTCAATCAAACAGTTTGTGTTCTGTGACTCCCTGGGAAAGTCTCCTGCTTTTCTTATTGTTCCCTACCAAAGACTGAGTTTGTCTTGACAATAATAAATTAGCAGCTTGAATGGTGGTTCGGCGAAACTGAACCAATGTTGGGCTGGTTCCCTCTGGTGAATGAAAACAAAAGAGCTGAGACAGGTTTTCTATCATATACAACTTAAATGAATGATCTTATCTAGAACCATAAGAAATATTAAAACACATAAAATATCTCTGCATAAGATACTCTGTCATGAGGACAGTTTGCTCCGAGTAACTTCATTTCCATCAAAATCTTCAACATATTAGTTATCAATTAATTCAGATTGATTTAAACTGTTCTCAGGAGAAATCATTACTTTTTCTTTAAAGTTACCTAGCAAGAGAGAGAGAAAGAGAAAAACTCATTTCATTTTTTAAACTACTTTACATTACAAACCAAGGCTTTTAAAATTACAAGCATTCTCTGGGACCACTAATTCAGTATTTCTCAACATTGACAATGTATAACCACATTTAAGTCTACATTATCACAAGTAGTTCCTACCCCCTCCCTTTTTAGTACAAAAAAATCTCTAAATAGAATAGAGCTAAGGTGATGTTCAGGGCATATAGTCTGGGGAACAGATTGTTTTTAAAGAATGGATATAGTTTAGAAAATCCTCTTGAGATTGTAGTAAGATTTTCAGTCATGTTAAGACTGTTGACAACTTACTGTGCTATTGTCACAATTCATGGCAAGGCCTAGAAAGTAGTAATAATTTCTGTTGAGTGGTTGAAGATTTGAATGGCTCCTGAATGGTCTACTTTATCTTCATATGTAACCCAAATGAATTAGATGCTTCTCCAAAATACACCACATTCTGCTACAGTTTTCATGAATCCTATTTTCCAAACAACCACATTTCATTGTAGTTTTCTTGCTCAGCTCAAAATAACCCTACATAAAATTTGGATAGACTATAAGGCTAAAAGTTTCCCCTGCCAGTAATATTTGATCTTAGGGGATGGTGCTCATGTCTGTTTCCTACATGAGGAAACCAGCATTGTCCAAAGATCCTTCTGTGGTCATGTGGCCAGCATGACAATACACTAAGGTACACAGAGTACTGTTACTTTCCTACTAAAGTGGTACCTATTTATCTACTTGCATTTACATCTTTCAAACTGCTAGGTTAGCAGGAGCTGGAACAAGTAATGGAAGTGCATTCCGTGGTACTGCCAACCTTCTGGTTGACAAGCCCAGCATTGTAGCTACCACACCTCATGGGATAGAAGGGTGTAAAACAAAAGTGAGAGATTGGTATAGTATTCATGCCAATTTTTATAAGTCCTATGATATAAATCTAGATGATGCTATTATTTCACAAGGATGAAGAGGTCAAGAGCGCAGTTTCAGTGATTAATTATATTGCTGTAAGGCATTATTAGTTCTTTTGTCTGATATGAACTATTAGTGCTCTTCTCTGACCTGACCAGATTCAAAGTTAGTTTTAAATTATAGCTACTGAAATTTTAATTGTATTGCCCTGATTGAAAAATAGAATGGAAAAAATGAGGATAGCGGGGAGTGTTGTATCTTTGGGTGGACCACAGGAAATCCTGATTGTATGAAGCATCATAAAAGAAATCCAGTGATTCCATAATAGTTCTTAGTTTCTTTGATAATTCAAAGAAATATCAATATTTGTACATTTAATAAGCTTAGAAAATTTGAAAATTCTAATCAGTAGTACAGTTTTTCAATGTCATGACTAAATATGTATTTTAACTTAAACCTCATACTATACATTACTAGGATTTGCAATTATGCTTTACCAGTTTACAAAATTATAATCAAGTACATTTTTTCTGTGAAAAGCTGCCGTAATAGCTGCATATTTTTTAACTACGATATCCCTTTTTTTATTCAGCTCCCACATTACCAGATTATGAAGGTATTGATGCTTTTCTCAATGAAACAGCCACAACCATAACTGTACTCCTGAGACCAGCACAAGCCAAAGGAGCGCCTATCAGGTAAAAACGAAAAATACATGAAAATCCTCATGTAAAAAAATGGGGAGGGGGGTTGAATCAGCAGCTGGCAACCTTTAGAGAGTTGTGTGGTCACACATACAGGTGCAGACACACATTTGACAACCAGAGAGTAGAGCAGACAAGGAGATATTAGCATGACATCATGCAATGGGATGCGATATTTCCACTTTTAAGTTGGTTTCCATGTTTTATTTTGCTTTGCTTTGCTGTTTGGGGATGCCATCCCTACAGCTAAGACCTTAATGCATTTTTTTTTAAAGTCCTACCAAAAGATTGCACAACTTATCCCTTTATCAAAACATCTTAATTCAATGAAAAATGATCTGTGATGTAACTGTTTTGCACTTCGTTAACTCTTTTAGTGTTTATGTGATTTTTAAAAGGCTTTGTTACAATATAGCAGACCTTACTTCAGTGGCAACAGGCACAATATTGAGTTGCATGAGACTATATAATTTAGATAGATTTCCATCATTTTGATTTTTGATTTAGATAGAAATTATGTGCTGTAAAAGTCAGCCTGTCCTGTATAAATGTGCCATTGTCTTTCTTACCTGCTCCCTGCACATGGCCCTTGAAGCAGATGTTTGATAATCCAATTCAAAATTGCAGGTTCTGTCAATCATTTCTTAAGATGCAACATGCTGCGGTAGTCACAGCTCTAATCATGGCAGAATCGTGTCTTGCCTGCCAAGTGTTATATCATGATCTGTAGTTTTTTATGGCCTCCTGAAGCTGTAAGCCAAACAGCAGATCTGAAATACAAAGAAAGACTGGATGAATCAGTGTTTACAATAAAATATAAAGCTATTTCTTACCAAGCTGGAAATCCTCAGCTCAGCCAGTAAAGAATAAATATTTATTCAAAAATGAGATATATGTGGATGTGCACAGATACAGACACACAGGAACAAATGATTTACCTTTCTGTTAAGAAGTGTCTTCAGATTTATAAATAAATATATCAGGAAATATTACGGATATTCTATAGATTTTATTGATCCACGCTCAGGTTCAAAGTTACCATCTCCTTTTATATTGTCTGATATTGTCTAAATTAACATAAAAACATGAGAATAGTTCTACTGGATCAGGACAAGACCCATCACTTCTTTTCTCACAATAACCAAACAAATGACTGTGGGATACTCCCAAGCAGGAATTGAACACATATTCATTGTTTCTCTCTAACTAGAATCTGAAGACATGGTGCTTCCAAACTGGAAGACTGACAGGACAAGCTATTATATATACAGCCAGTGAACTTGATATTCTCTCACACTGATAATATTACCTAACATGGTAATGAAACATCGACAAGAAAACAACCAAGCTCAGAGCGCAGCATGAACCCAGCAGTTTAATTCTGAGCTAGATACATTCTCTTCTATTGGAATAGCATTATAGTCAGTTCTTCCTTTTGGCTTCACAACACATTTGTGTTAGAGATCAGATGACAGTCCCCATTTAGAATTAAATCCAAGGTTTCAGCTTCTCTAGTCAGTTGAAAGACTCATTATCCTAATTTAAGTTACTTAAACTATTTAAATGTAGTTTATTTGAACACACAATACAGGTAGTCCTCAACTTACAAGAGTACGAAGTTACAGCAGCACTGAAAAAAGTGACTTACAACCATTTTTCACATGTACAACTTTTGCAGATCTCCATGGTCAGGTGATCAAAATTTAGATATTTGGCAACTGACTCATATTTATGACGGTTGCAGTAACTCGATATCATATGATTACCTTTTTCAAACTTCTGATGAACAAAGTGAATGGGGAAGTCTGATTCACATAACAACCTTGTTACTAAATTAACAAATGCAATGATTCACTTAACAACCATGGCAGGAAAGGTCATAAAATGGAGCAAAACTCACTTAACAAATGTCTTACTTAGCAACAGAAATTTTGGGCTCAATTGTGGTCATAACTCGAAGACTACATTTAATTAGTTTATTTAATAAATGTGATGTCTTTTTATAGCCTAAGTGTGAATATACTGACATTATATGAATGCCATTGCCATCTCACATCCCTGCACCAGCTTCTCTATTGCTAGACTCAAACATCTTTCAATAATTCAAGATCATCTTCAGAGTTCTGATCAGAGGGTCTCTAGCATATTTCTGGACCTGATTTATAATCGTGGCTTCTACAATGCCTTCTACAATGATTCTGTAGAAAAAAACAGACTTCCATTTTTATTATTATTATTATTATTATT